TTTACTTGGATGATAAAGTGACAACACGAATGCTAGTACGGACTAGAAGTGTCTCCCATCTTAATGTTAAGGCTCTGACGGAAAGCCCAAATGTCTTAATATTTTCGTATTAGTGTAAATAAACTAGACAGTGCCTTTTTCCCTAGATTTTTTTTTTTTTTTAATGGGTTCAACGAGATGGCGACACCAGCACCAAATGACCCAAGCCAGTGCATTTGTTTTGTTGCTGTTTTCACGAGTTTGCACGGACGGCGACTCGCGGTACGAGTTCTTTGCTTGACATGCCGAGATCGGTTTTGCCGTTTTGCTGGAGAATCCTCTGTGTGGGATCTCTGTCTATAGCTGCTGCACCACATAAAAAATACAACCAATGAGAGGCGACGCATGCATGACGTAGTGATGCCATGGCAACATGCTGTCTTTCGCCCTCGCACGACGAGCTTTCACTTTCAATTTTAGATTGCCCTCGGCCAATGCCACGACCTATGCGGACAATGTGCCACGTAACCTATCCCTCCGCAAGTCCCTAGGTAACACCGAAGAGTCCCACGCCCTCAGGAAAGCCACGTGATGTGTTTGTTTGTCTTGGAAGCAGAGTCAAATCATCAAATACGCCAATGCACGAGCTGGTGCAGAGTGCGACGTTTGGACGGAAGCAAATGGCGGCGCAACACTAAAATGAGCGGCTATGGGGCGGCCCCTGAAAGGAAACTGCGGTGCCGCTCTCGTTTCTGGTCTCGTAGAACGTGTCTCTCGCGTTCACCAACAGTGGTTGTCGGTACTTCTGAGAAACGCCAAGCGTGAATTTTATCCAGAAACTTTAGCTCACAGCGCTGATTAGGCTTCCCTGGCTTTTATCGGCCGCTTCACATATTGGTCATCTTGTGGCCCATCTTATATTTGCAAAAAAAGAAATGCGATGTGGTGTATCTGAACGTCAGAGCTCAGGTCATAATTCATTTAATTATGAATCTGTGTAGAAATGCCCTGTCTTTCCTATTCGGTATATGTGCGTGAACCAAGGTGGACGTTGATGAATCCGTGACAACCGTGAATATGGTAATCCAACTCAGCGCTTTGACTCTGCGGTGTCACGTAGCTCTAAAGAGAAGAATACACAAGCTCGGTCCGAGTTAGCGCTATAAATGGCTTGCACGTAACGTCCTTGCACCATACCGGTGTGCATTTTACTTCTTTCCCCCAAAAGAAGAAATGCGATAGTACACAGTTTACACTGCAAAAGATACACGCTCACAAGCAAGTCCACCACAATGGCAGCTGGTGTGACGTCAGTGCAGGCCATAAAACCATTTCGCTCGTGCCTTCGGGCTCCCTTGCAGTTATGGTGAAATAGGGCCTTATGTACATAGACGCTTTAGACACGCGCCAGATTACAACCGCCATTGCTGACTTTCTCTTGTTTTACCGAGATACCAAGTCACTGAAACGGGCGTTGTCGAGCCTTCACAAAGACCAATGCTGGGAAGGACACATGCAGTAGAATCTAAAATGGCAATAACCTTACGTGCTAGGGTAATGATGAAGTGAATTATTAGGAATAAGAGGAAAGAAAAACAGAAGTTGTATGTTATGGCGGCGGGCATGCACATTTGCCGAGAGATGCAGAAGTCCGAATAATCAGACATATAAACAAGGGGTCCCTGAATAGCCGAGATGTATCATACGGCCGCTACAAGCCATCAGAGTCAATCCTGCACTGAGGGGATGGGACTGTCCGGGTTCGCCTTGCGATTCCCGGAGCTCTAGGTCACATGGTGCTGGATGGGCTGTGATGGTTACTCTGGAATAGCTCACGGCATCAGCCGCGGTCATATGCTCCTGAAAATGAAAGGAGGATGGGTGGCAGCACAAGGCATTGCGCGTTGCCATGGCATCATTACGTCCTGCATGCTGCATGCATCCTCTCAAAACCATTCTCTAGACGACAGTGAAATCTCGAAGTTCTCCGGCAAAGCCATGGGGCAAAGGGGACCTCGGCCGCAGCCGGTGTCAAGCAAACGGCACGCAAGGAATGAATTGAGATGTATTCTTTATTTTTTAGCGATATGCATCTAAAAAGTTTATTTGTATTATTTACAAGCACTCTAAACCTCTGTCCAATCTTAGAATCGATGGTCCCAAGCATGCACGACAGTCAACGTCGCTTGTTTTCTTTCCTCACACTGGCGCTAGCCTCTACAATTGTTTATCCCTTTTAACCTGCAGCGCCCTCAGGTATGATTGCAGGGGCGCGAACAAGCGTACCATTTATGGCAGGTTGCTAGGCAATTGTGTTGCATATGTGAAACGTTCTAGCATCACAAACGGTTTGTGGTACTCTGAGTTTCAAGAAGCCAGACACGTATACGTTCACGGCGCTCGCATACTATGTGTACACTTGATATTTGTCCCAAAAATGAAGCGATACTACCGCTAATCTGGCTGATAAACCTGGCGATCTTCCAGCGCCTTTCCTACTCTCAAGCTCCTCTCCCTCAGCTGGGACTGGTGGTGGAGCTCCTCCTCGCCTACATTACTCCTCCTTGCTTACCCTTCTGGTCACATAACTTCCCCATTAACCAATCAGCGTCGAGCACGAGCACCCCACTCCTCCTCTCTCACCCGTAAACCAATCAATGTCGAGCCTCACGATCACGCTTTTATCTGGGCTTCACGAAATGCCGAACACCTAACCAAAAACCGTTTCAAGTAAAAAAAAAAAAGAAAAAAAAACAAAAAAAAAACAACGTTTTCACATTTGCGGCGCAAACAATCTCGCAAGGCAATGCATTCAATTCATTAACAATCCTCCCCCCCCCCCCCCCCCCCCACAAAAAAAAAAGAAATTTAGCCAACTTTGTTTTGGTACGGATTGTTCGTATTTTATGAATGCGGCCTATTTTCGTTGTAAAATATAATCGACCCTTTCCGAAATGCAGTGCCATCTGGTTGCTCAAAAAGCAGTTTCCCTTCGGACATACTAATGGCGGTCATGCTGTATTTCAACGGGCACCGTCACTTTAGCACGTCAGTGGCACATGAGGATTGGTTCTTCGATCACCTCATAATGTTTTCTTGATTTGTTTGTTACTGTTTCAATGTACTCTTTAAAAAAAAGCCCGTGCGTCTGCTTTCCCGCACAACACTCAGAGAGCCAATCATCGCAACTTACGGAGGCAGCTCAGCGAATGACGATGCCGAAACATATGTTTAGACCAAAAAACGCAGTCCGAGTTGTGACATTAAGCAATGCAAGCGTGACGTTTTGCATTGCTTAATGTCACAACTCAGACTGCGTTTTTTGGTCTAAACATATGTTTCGGCATCGTCATTCGCTGAGCTGCCTCCGTAAGTTGCGGTGATTGGCTCTCTGAGTGTTGTGCGGGAAAGCAGACGCAGGGGCTTTTTTTAGAGTGATAGCGCACATAAGAAATGAGCAGTACAAAGCGGCGACCCATAAGAAGGGTTCCGTGTTTTAGGCGTTTATTTTCCCCACATAGTTAGTGCATTTCGGTGTCAATGTTCGGTCCCAGAGACGGTGTTTATCGTGGCTGATGTTAAAGAAATTGGGACACGGGCATGCGGTCGCCCAACCTCTATAGGACATGCATGCGACCCAAATATGGAGTGTCCCAAGCGGACCTTCCGCTGTAAAACGAACCGTAAAAATCGGCGCCTGCACATAGAAAGCTCGAACTTCGGTCGAGTGTGAGCTGATCAGGTCAATTTTAGCGTCTGAAATTTCAAATCGTTGTTCTCTGCCTGTAACAAAAAAAAATTAATAAAAAAATTGTCAAAGTCATGGTTGGACGCTTTCGCAGACGACAGAGTTAGCGACGCTATTTACTTGTGGCGCCATCTTCCAATACATAGTTTGCACGTGACGTCATTCAAAGAGCGCTCCGATGACCACCAGAGAGGAGGGCAGTCGTCGCTATTCTCCCCCCAGAAGATTATAGAAGATTATCCCGTCACTCAAAATTCTTACAAAAGCAGTTTCCCTCTCCTCCTCTTACATGGAGGCCAAAAATATGCGACGTGACGTCAGTGCAACCTGTGTTATTATGCAGCGAGCAGACGATGCGCTCTGTCGTCTGCTCACTGCGCCTTCCGAAGATGGCGCCACAAGTAAATAGCGTCGCTGACTTGGTCGTCTGCGATCATAATTATGAATTAATACATTCAGGCAAGGGGGGAGACAAAAAGGGGACATACACACCACCGTCTCAAAAGGTTGAGTGCGGTCCGTGACCGCGCTCAACCTTGAGTTTGGTAAGTTTGTGGTCTATTTTTTTTTCTTTTTATAAAAAAGATAATAAGGTTTGAACTTTCACACACTAAAACTGACCTGCTCAGTGCACATTCGATATAGTTTTAACTCTCTATGTCCGGGCGCCGATTTTTCCGGCTCGTTTTATAGCGGAAGGCCCGCTTGGTACGCCCTATATTTCGAAAATGTCCCGGTGCCAATAAGAAAAAGAAACGAGATAAGGAGTTCGGTTCCTTGAGAAAAAATCAGCCTCGTGCAAAGTTCGGTGTGGTTGAAGCTTGGTTTTTGGTTATACGTGCCATGATCCCTGGGTTTTTCTTATACAATCACATCTTCGATTCGTTCTTTTTTTTTTTGAGAGGGGGGGGGGGGGAGGGGGTTCCGATTTTGATAAAACCGGGTCGGGAGTTAGTTTTCGTGATTTATCGGTATTTATTGAAAATACGAAAGCCGAGCCATCAGCTCCTTGATTTGATTTCCACCATCAAAAGGCTGTAGAGCCAAACCTGTGAAAAGAAATTTATTGGACCACATTCCGAATTATACGCGGTTACACAGAAATCGCATCGAACTAGTCTGCCGTGTTGTACTGACGTCTCTAGCGTACAAGGAAACAAACAACGACGACACACGGTGGGGCGTTCAAGGCCCGCAGCTCGCAGACTGGCCGTTGGCCGTCCGACCCTTGAAACACTGCCGGCCCGCAGGCCGCGCGTCGTCGAAGCCCGAGGCTACGGCGGGCCATGCGGGGTCCCGGCTGACATGTGGAGCGAGGGACCAAGCCCGCTGGCCGGCGGCACCCCAACAGCCCCGGCCGTGTGCCTCCCTCTGGCGGCCGCCTCGCCCAGCACCGAGGGCATGGCCCGCTCCCCCAGCCACGAGTCCTTCGGCACGGACCTGTCGCTGCTCTCCCTCTCCAGTCTCGGCTCGGAGCTCGGGAGGCTCCGAGCGGGACAGCGCGCCAATCGCAGCTTGCTCCAGGTGACCGTTGAGGAGGTGTCTCCTGCCCGCAAAACGAAATCGTTTGGCACCCGCGAGGGTGTAATGCTTATATACAGTTCTCGTGGTGTCTGAAAGTGATCAATTTGTTAGTGTAAAGTTGTTTGCATTTCTGACGGCTGTGTAACTTACTCTGTTATTAATAACGCTTGCTGTAGGACTCTGTAAACTTCTGGACTATAATTTATCTCATTGAGTTGCCTGCGTGGCGGAAGGGTTCTGTTTCGCCCACCAGAGGTAGTGCTCGAACGCTGGAGTAGAAAGAGTAGTGTTCGAACGCTGGATGGTCCCTTCCCCAAGGAGTCTTTTGGGGTGTCACTCATTGCCTCAATTGATTTGTGACGTAAAACGTCAATTTTTTTTTCCTTCGTCTCACCCTACGATTGACTGAAGGCCAAATCTCCGGCCACTAGGTCCAGTCAGGAACCAGTCAGAAACCACTTATTGCTCTGACGTCCGTATCAGTGCTCAGGGGCGCGGGCACAATCTATACCCGTTGATTTCTAGCTGGCTCGCGATTGGACCTGGCGCTCCGTAGCGTTGGCTTTCAGTCCGTCGTCGGTTGAGACGACGCATGGCGCGAAGCATCTTTGTAAACTCCCGGATTAGTGCCAAGATTAGAGAATGACCGTTGATCTTTCCAAATCAGTCTTTATGACGATATCAACAAAGATCAAACCTTACGTAGTTTATTTATATAACATTAGAAATACCTGTATGCAGACGGTTTTGTGTGTGTGTGTGTGTGTGTGTGTGTGTTTGTGTGTGTGTGTGTGTGTGTGTGTGTGTGTGTGTGTGTGTGTGTGTGTGTGTGTGTGTGTGTGTGTGTGTGTGTGTGTGTGTGTGTGTGTGTGTGTGTGTGTGTGTGTGTGTGTGAAATATTGAGAGCTTTTATCAGTAACCTGAAATGGAACGACCACTTGAACAAAATTTGTTCTATATTAATTGAAAAAGTTGTTCTTCCTGCGAAGGAAATTAAAAGGGTCTCCTCGAATCTAAAGTTTGAAGCACATCGTGTTTCATGTTCGACGAGTACGATGCGCCTAAATTTTGTAGAATTCGTGTCACGCTAACGACAATACGTGGTTGGGCGTATCCAACACCATGCTCCTAGGTTTATCTTGCCTGACTATTGACCTTCATCACCAGTAAATAATATATGTTGAAGCAATGGGGTTGGAGCCGTTCCCATATACGCCCGCAGATCTCAAGGCGAAGATTCCTGTATTTGCTCTCTCACAGTATAAATGATTTGTCAAGTGAAACACGCCTATTTTATGTTCTCGTTAAGTCAACAAGTGTAATATCCAATTTATACGGTCAGCCTAAATGTATCTACAGGGTGTCACAAAAGAAAATTTACACGGTCTTTTTTACCGCAAAAATAACCTAGTCATCGCCGAACGCTCATTCTCCGCCCAAAGGTAGAGCTAGAGGTCACAACCAGATGCCAAAGTTTCAGCCCGATCCGATAACTTAATCAAAAGTTATAAGTGATTTTCTGAAAATTTCAATGGGAAGATGGCGGCCGACGGAATTTTCGAATAGATGGGGCTCTATGGCACCAGAAACCGAAAACGGGCAAAAATGGGCTCCATTTTCCCATTGAAATTTTTAGAAAATCACTTATAACTTTTCATTAAGTTACCGGATCTGGCTGAAGCTTTGGCATCTGGTTGTGACCTCTAGGTCTACCTTTGGGCGGATAATGAGCGTTCGGCGATGCCTAGTTTATTATTGCGGTAAAAAAGACCGTGTAAATTTTCTTTTGTGACATCCTGTATAACAAGGATCATTTTGCAGTCGGCAAATCAGCCCGCGCCCTTGCGTCGGAGCACATGCCACGCGCGGATGATAGCGAACTGATTCGCTGCCGGACATAAAGGTACCTATCTTGTAGATCCCTTTATGTTCGTGTAAATGGGGTATAATACCTTGTTCACACGATCATAAAGATACCTATAACATAGAGACTTTGATGGTCGGCGGCAAATCGGCTCGCTGTGCTCCGTGCGTGGCACGTGCCCGCAAACTAAGAGCGTGGACCGATTCACCGATTGCAAAGGAACCTGTATTATAGTACCCTTAGGTAACCCCTGAAAAGAAAAGAAAAACATTTTAAACAGTTTGGTTGGGACACGCGTGTCAAAAAATTAGTTTTACGGGAAAAAAGTTTGAGGAATATTGACGGGGCGAGATTTATTTTAAATTCTGCGCGCAATGTCCATGACGTCACGGTATGGTCATACACTCTTCCCACCTCAACGAGAGGGGGTCATGCGTACACTCCCTCCATCTCAACGTGATGGCCAAACCGATCCACCTCTCCTCCACGCTCCCGAAAAGCCGAGAGAGAAAACAAGGGGAAAGGAGGCCACTACCGACTAAATCGCGTCTCGCGCCGCCAATATTGCTCAAGAAAATAATTTTTTTTTTCGCGTATAATTAATTTTTTGACACGCATGTCCCAACCAGTCTGTTTAAAAAAAAGCTTTTTTTTTTTGTTTTCAGGGGTCCTTTAAGCCGGATTCACACTGCTTATACAGCATACAAAATACATTCTGCATACAGATTCGAACACGAGCTACCACGAGATCGGCTCTTCGAACGCCGCATGGCAGTGCGTTCAAGGAGAAAACTTGGCACGCGACATTCGAAGCATGGATATTGCGGTGGCTGATATTTGCAGACTGCCTTTTGTATGGTGTATGAGTAGCGTGAACACGGCTTTAGGCTGGCCGTGTGAATCGAGCATAAATCACTCCAAAGTAATACGCCTATACTTTGACAGGACAACATTCTTCGAAAAATCGCTTTTACTGATAAAAAAAACCCTTTTCAAAAGTCCATCAAGCAACATTGGCAGTCGCCATTGCTTGGACACGAGGCGCGTGATTGGATCCGAGTTCACGCCGAACGCTGACGTCACCCTCGTTTCCCAATACGTGCTCACACTCTAAAAAAAAAGCCCGTGCGTCTCCTTTCCTGCACAACACTCGGAGAGCCAATCAGCGCAACTTACGGAGGCAGCTCAGCGAATAACGATGCCGAGACATATGGCTAGACCAAAAAACGCAGTCTTAGTTGTGACATTAAGCATTGCAAAACGTCACGCTTTTTCATTGCTTAATGTCACAACTCAGACTGCGTTTTTTGGTCTAAACATATGTTTCGGCATCGTCATTCGCTGAGCTGCCTCCGTAAGTGGCGCTGATTGGCTCTCCGAGTGTCATGCGGCAAAGGAGACTCACGGGCTTTTCTTAGAGTGCAGAGTATACTATATGAGCAAGCAATGGCGGACACGCGTTGGCGCAGACTTTCGAAAAGGATCTATTGAACAGTGGAACTGCTCGCCCCGATTGCTCCTCAAATTCACAAATGTGTTCCTAATGATCTAAAGCCTATTTAAATTCTTCCTTGCACGCGAGAGATTATGTGCGTTATAGAGACTTTGAGGCATACTTGGTTCCACTTCGAGCAGCAAAAGCTACACGGACCCGCACATTGAACGAGCCTGCCGAGAACGCCCGCTCGGGCAGGGTTCGCGTTTGTAGCTTCGGCTTCGCTCGCACTTGTGATGAAGTCTAGTAGCAGCTAGCAGAGAGGCGAGCCCAACGAGGCCCTTGCTAAGGACGCCTCATCGACTCTGGTGCCCAGGTGCCCGGCGTGTGCTTCGGCTCGCGGAGGCCCATCTCGGGCGAGGTGTTGCTCGAGGAGGAGTCCGAGGCGATTCGCAGCTGCGGCGCCCTCTCGTCGGTTCTGGGCCTGGTGAAGAGCTTCAGCACCGGCGACATCAACCAGACGGCGGTAGACGAGAACGACGCTCCGCTCCGTGCCAGCGTCTCCGAAGTGGCCTTGTGCGCAGCGCTGCCTCCCCGAGGCAGGCTGGACTACGCGTCGCGGTCCTGCTCCACCTGGGTGGCCGTGGGGGACGTGTCGTCCACGTCGCAGCTACCATCGCCGCAGGGGCTGCCGGCGCCGACCAACGCCACCGGCGGCGACGCGTCGCCTGGCTTCACGGCGGCAGACCTAGTCCGCTCGGTGAACAAGAAAGTGCGCCAGATGTACATTCGACGCCGACTCCTGTCCACGTACAAGGCGCTCGAGCGACTCACCAAGAGCGAACTGAACTTGAGCGGCCAGCCGAGGGACGACCTGCCGCAGGTGCACGTGACGAGCGAGCTCAACCGCTGCATCCGGGACGAGTTGGACCTGTCGTCGCTGGGCTTTCGGGGCGCCAACCGCACGCTGTCGCTGACCGTCAAGGACGTGGAGAGAGACCGGGGCAAGCCGCTCACCAAGTTCGAGCGCAACATGATGATCTTCAACTGGCTGCAGAGCCTCGACGAGAACACGTTCGAGCAGTCCTAGTCGAGCGCCTTGCCCACCTTGGGGGCAGCGGCCCGACCCGGTCCCCGACCATCAGGTCCCGGCCACACGACGGCCTGTAGCGTGCCTCGTCTTCCCGGTAACCAGGTACACATCGCACCCCGTGTTTTGGATCGTCACCGGCCGCTCTTCGATGGAACACACCTTTTGGACGTGAATTGATCAGACCGCCCATATTCCGACCGAACGAGCGAAATGATGTCTTTGCAATGTCGGTCGGGCACCGCTGTGTTGACAATAAAGCGGTAGAGACCGATTAACTACGCAGTCGCGTAAAAACTCGCAGCTCGTTAGGGCACGACGATAACCGGTTTGGTTACGCCTCCCCTAGGCCAATGGGTTCTTATTTGACCCCCGCAATCTCAACGTCGATCATTTGTAACCTGGAGTGGTTGGCGCGTCCTTTTGCTGTGCCTTTTGTGCCTGCATATTTGGTTTCGCAAGTGTAACAGCTCGTACTAGTTTCTTTTTTTTTTCACCTGTAGCGTTCGTTGTTATGAAAGTGATACGAACACGAAGGAGAGAATAAAAGTTTGCGTGTGATCTTGGTGAGCGCACGGTCTGAACAAGCGCACAGCCCTAAGGCGGATACCCGACGAAAAGAGAACGACGCAGACAATGCGCAAGTCCCAGACAGAGCTGTGATTTATTCGACGAGACACACGTGTCTTCAAACAGCAGTTGTGTTTGACGTTAGCATAATATCTATGTTCCATTTTTGTTTCATTGAGTGTATACGTTGTATTGTGTATACCTTTCTATCTTGGATGAGTTTCTAGCTTTTTCTTAGTGCAAGCCACCGAGGTTCTTCGTGATACTTGCCAGCGACTTTGCCATGATGCTTTCCATTCCAAAAATTATCAATAAGTTTCAACTGAGCTTCTAATGTATCGTTATAAGTCAATGGAAACTCAGAATAAACTCAACGGCGAATGAGGTTGATCCTATTCTATTGAATTTGCTCTTTAGGACCACAATTGAGTTTGGTCATTATACCTGAATATCTATTCTTTTGAATTTACTCATTAGGAATACAACTGAGTTTGGTCATTGAGAACTAGATATTATTTTAATTTACTCACTAGGTATGCAATTGAGTTTGGTCATTAAGAAATAAATACCCATTCTCTTGAATTTATTCATTAGATATGCAAACGAGTTATATCGTTAAGAACTCAATATAGGTACATTATTTTAAAGTTACTCATTCTATTTCAAAATGACTTCTATTATTAAAAGCTCAAAATTCATTATTTTAAATTTATTCCTTGGATATGTAAATGGTTTTATCGTTAACCACTCAATATCTATTATACTGAGCTCACTCACTAGACACGCACTTGAGTTCTATCACTCGACAACCATTTATTTGTCTCTTCATTAGAGATTCAAATAAGTTTGTATCGTTCAGTAATAGACATCAGCTGATTCCTACCCTTTGCAGTTGAGGAATCCCACCAAGGGCGTAGCTGAAAACTACCAGGAGTGCACTTATGAAACTCGGAATAAAAAAAAAAAAACGAAAAAAAAAATTGCCGAGATTTATATGTGCGAGGAATGTAATCCAAAACTTTCAAAACCTCTTGGAGCATATCTTCGAAAGCATTTATTGACAACTCTGCACAATGCATTGCCCCACAGTTGACTTCCTGTAGCTAGTGTCAATAGAAAAGCAGTCAACTTTCTGTGGGCTCCCTATTGAACATATCTTTGACTTTGGGTCAGAAGTTTACACTATGTTTCTCTATAGTCACTGGCAAGGTGGGAACGACAGGGAGGAGCTTCACTTGATGTCCCACCTCCAGCGCGAGGCCCCTACCTTCGAAAAGCTTAGACGTCTCGTGCACCTCCAGCGCGCCGTCAAAGCACGGCGGAAGGCACGGAGCACGTGCTGAAGGCCGAGCGTTCCAAAGACACGCTATGTTGTCATCACTCTTTCAGTGACTGTAGTGATTTCATGAGCCTATTATACTAGCCACTGATTTAAGGGTTACTGCTCAGGAAAGATAGTGAATGATCATACCGAAAAAAAAAACGCAAAAAACAACCTTGAGACTAGGGAAATAAATGCGACAAAACAACACCGTCTCAATGTTTTTTTGTTTTTGTTTTTTAACGTGATAATATCAGTCATTTTGTAAAAAAAAATAAACGATACAATTTTTTTTTTTTTTTTCTTGAAGCGTAGCAATTACCGTTACTTGTCTCGTCCTGAGCGGTGCTATGCAGAAAAACGATAACATGCCAGCAAGGAACTGCTTTTTGGATTTAACGACTGCACCGAATGATTATTGCTCGTACCAATGTCCTTTGCAAGAGATAGAATCCACTAAAGTCGAAACACTGTTTACCACTCATCAGACTTCCGAGGTGGAGAAGGGATACAAGAAACCATAATGAATGCTGAGGTGGTCATCGCGGCCAAATGAATCCCTTTCCTATGTAGGGTTATGAGGCGTTGGAGTAGTCAACAGGAGAGTGATTCGAATGCTGTGAGTGCTTCAGGTTCTTTGTGTTCGTTTTCTCCGCGTACGATGCACTCAGGAATTATAAAGACGAAAATTCCCATCAAATTGCAGAAATGTTCTTAAAAACGCAGTTACAAAAATTCAATTGAAACACATTCACCGAAAATGCTATTAAAATTTAGTTGCCTAAAATGTATTTGAAACACAGTCGAGAAAATTCTTTTCAAATTCTATTTCTAAAATTCGATTGAAACGCAGTGGCCAATATTCTGTGAATACTCAATAGGAACACATAAGAAAAAAAAAATTGCGTTTCAACTGAGACTCGATAGGAACACATAAGACAAACAACAATTTAGTTTCCCCCGAGTCTCAACACAGTGTATTGAGTGAGTTCTTAACAATTTCAATTGAAATTCATTTCATTGTTTTGTAAGAGTTGGGAGGGTTTCGGGGCAACGAGAATTCACTCTTCACGCACTGCTCGCTTACGTAGCTTCATTTGCTAGAAATACCTTCGAGAATAGATGTTTTTGGATGTTTTTGCGTCCACCGACTTTCGTCCCTGTCGGAGTTTGCCCTCAGTCGCTCCTCCGTTCCAGCGGTTTTATGGCCCGCCATTACGCCCCGCTATGTTTTGACTCATCGAAGCTTTATCTCCGCGCCGCGCTGCTCCCAGCAAACTCTGCCGCGATAACTGGCGGCCCTGCGTTCAACTGCGTCCAACGACTAATTGAGGTGTATGTGTGCCTCCCAGCCCCGGTTTCTGGCTGCCTGTTTAGCGTACGAGGGCATCGAAGATTGTCCCCGCGTCCTGCTCAGGTCGGTCTGTCGTCGGAAAGGTTTCCAAGACCAGTCATCGTCGGTTTACTCGTAAGAAAAAAAGAAAATAAGATTGAGAGGCTTTCTCTTCTCCTCTACATATCTGATCTATAGCAGTAGCTCATACGGCGGGAGCGAGTGTATGGCGTTGCAATGATGCTTTGCATGAAAAGGACTGTAGAGTTGAGTAGACAGTGGAACTGTTGGGACGTTTTGCGCAGAGGAGCTGCTCGGCCGAGCTGCCGGGCTTTCTGACCAATGTCCCGCTGAATTGTACAAGTTACCTTAGAAACACCCTTTGGACGATCGCAAAGTGCGGCTCGTATTCATAGTGGCTGGGGAGAGTTACGCGTCATTCGTACTCAATGAGCGGACCAGAGACACAAATGCTCTACTACTCTTCGCGCGTGCTTGCGAAGCTCTACAGAGCTGCTCCTTGTCTTACTCGTGTATATATGCTTGTTACCTGTTCTGTCGTGGAAGCGCAACTGTGAGAGCATCTGTGTTGATTTTTATTCGTCGCGTGTCTCGTCCTTGGACATGCTCTTTCTGCCCATGGGATCATTCTCACCCGAGACATTTCGTAGGAGCCCTGGCGACCACACGACCAACTCTGCTCGGAACCATAGGAAAAACACCTTGCCGGAAACTTCGACACGCTGCTTCAGTAACGCTTGTCGTCGAACAGGCTTTTCTGTTGGCGATCGGCGCCTCTGAAGTGTCGTGAGTGAAGGTTGCTTGCTAGAAAGGTCTGTTGGGCGTGCCTGCGAGCGGAGTTGGTTCGGTATTCGCTTATGACTGCTCTTGTTGTTTTGTCTTTTCTTCCTGCGTTCTGTCAGATTTGTTACTTTGATGACGTTATGGTTGTGTCTGTTTCATTTTCATCGTGGCTCCGTTGTCTTGCATCTCTCATGCGCGTCTAAGGATTAAAATGTGTACGTGGATGTCTTCGCGTGAATAAATAAAAGATGCACGAGTATATCTTCCTCATTCACTGCCATAAACAACATTGTGACATGAAAGTTCTTGGGTCATTTTCGTCGAGTCGCGCAGCGTTTCCTGAGCATCACACTTTAAGCCTTTAGTGTATAGCTTACATTGATTGATTTACTGTTTATTGGCGCAAGGGCTACCTATGGGCCAAAGAGTCTATGGTGATGATATAGCTTGCATGTTTCGCGTTTAACTCCATATATCTTAACAAAGCCGTCTTCCGATAAATCCTGAACCCATTAATGCTTTGAAAAATTTTGTTTTGTGGAAAGGTGATTGTCTCTATATATGTAGTGCTATTCAAAACGAAGCGCATAAGAATGGCCATGAAAGGGACGAATGATAAGAAAGGTATCGCATTTTTGCAGCACCACTGTATCGTTTGGGAGGAGCAGATCAATTACTGCCGTCCTTAACGCGTAGAGCTTATTTAAAAAAAAACAATAAAAGAGGTATAGCTTCAATCTAAAAAAAAAAATATATAAATGAGCGCGAGCTACTTATTACTTGCAGAATAAATCCTTCCCAGCTCCTTTGACTACTTTTCTTGATAAAAGGAACTGCTCAGGCCTCAGTGGCTTAGCTGGCACATTGTAATCGACGTACAGCCCACAATCCGGTGGCACATGCGGCCACCTCTCTTACGGTTTCGACAATTGAAATTTGAAGGACCAGCGCACGATCATCACACATATAAGT